ACTAAAAAAAAGTACTAGTAGAGATATGCACCATAAATAGGCTTACACAAAAGTCCTCATCCGTGCTCCAATATGTACTAGTACGTACTACCTTTCCCCTTTTTTATATAAAAAACATGTGAGGACTTGAGTAACTCCAACACTACAAACTAAAACAAGATCTAAGTAGTTACCTACTCCCTCCATCCAAAAAGTATCATTTTTTACTTTCACATATCTTATTTGACCATCCGTCTTATTCAAAATTTTTATATAAATATCATCTATTTTGTTATAACTTATTTTATTATTAAAGATACTTTAATAATGATTTATTTATTTTATAATTTCTATAAATTTTTTAAATAAGACGAATGGTCAGACACGATGTCCGAAAGAAAAAAACGTCACTCTTTTTAGAGGAAGGGAATACTTTCAAATGTTATTGTCTCTAGCAGGACTGTCTAAAATAGGCTACATATTTTATTTTCTCAGAAATACATGTTTTTTTTAAGAAAAACTGTAGAGCACTCAGAAATACATGTTTTTTTTTAGAAAAACTTGCCCCTCTATGATCTTCATTTGGCCTCCACAATTTAACCAACAATATAGTGTTTGCATAATTTAAACCAACATAGAGTTAACATAATATTGTAACACAATATAAATTTAAATTTCCAAAGTCAAATTCAAATGTCAAATTGTCCACATCAGCAAGAGGAACTAAAACAATATGCATGTCAAATGCAACCACACTACGACACACCATGACGTGCCCACAAATACTCCACCAAATTATCATGGAGCCTCTCATGCATCGTTTGGTCTTCAATTTCATTATGTATACACACAAGAACTCACTCAACACAAGTGGATCGCGTCGCTGGTACACCTCTGGCCTCAACACCTCGCCACCAAATCTTGATCATAGTCAAAAGCTTCTTCTACGACCATGCTCATTTTTATGATCATGTTGTGTAAGATTACAGCAACGGTCATGACGTACGAAATGGTTTCATTGTCCCAAGTCCTACAAGGTCGCCTCACCATGGCAAACCTAGAATGAAGAACTCCAAATGCTCTCTCGACGTTCTTCTGAAAATTTTCTCATTGTGCACCGGAATGTCTGCAAAATAACCGGCCACAATCCTCAAGTTGCCACGATGAATGTCTCTATGAACTACATGACGTCCATGGACTGATCCACAACGCCTCTTCTTCCTTCTCTCATGTTCCTCCTTCTGTGCAATCAAGCTCAAGATAAGAGCATCACCATCGGACTCATCATATTCCTTGAAGAATTGGTTTACTGAACCATCTACAATGGCCATCGTACATATGAAAACACACACAATTTCATACAATTGATATCAAGGAAGGGTGTCGAGCAGGGTGACATACCTTGTTGTAGTAGGGTGTCAATAGGGAGGCTGCACTCTAGGAGGACGCAGCTCGGGGAGGGAGGATGCGTCGCCGGCGCGGGTCAGGGAGGGGGCTCCAACGGGCGTTGACGACGAGGGGCCGGCGGCGGCCATGAAGGCGGGTGCCGGCTAGGGACGGTCGGGTCCGGCCTCACCGGACTTGGAGATGCCAGCGGCGGCGGTGGAAGGGGCTGGCGACGGGCAAGCTCGGGGCGGGGCGGCGGGCCAGGGGGGGGGGAGTGGCGGTGGCCAAACAGGAAGTTGGGTGGCCATCTATTGGACCAGCAGAAGTGGGTAGCGTGGGAGGAGGAATTGGGGGGCCAATAAATTTGGATGGCAAAGTATGTTGCCTGTTTGAGTGAGATTTTTTGTTTCACTATTAAAAATAAAATAGAGACCCTGTTTAGATAACCTGTTGATCTGAAGTTGCTGTTACATTTCTTTTTTCCCACATATAATAATAAATGTTAGGTCGGAGGTGCTAATCAGTGGTGTCACTTCATTGCCGTCTCTTGTCCACAAATAGTACTTCATCGTCCATTTGTTGTTTCGTCTCGTGCTCAAGCTCACCGCTGGTCCCAAGCAGAGCTGCAGTACATGCCACGGGACACGCTTTTCTACCTCTGTTGTGAACGGCTAAGGCAAAAGAAAAGAAAAGAAAAATCTTGGTGGTGCACACGCTTTCCATAGTCCCTTTGCACCTCTCGACCGAGACGAACCAAAGAAAAGGTCGACGACACCGAGTAAGCCCTGTCCGCCGTCCGGCTCGCGAACCGCCATAGGATGGTATGGTAGGAAATCTAATAAACTAAGCTACACTTAGTTCACTAATATAATATCTACTTAACAAAATTCTTGACCAAAACTGTACTTTACTGGTATCAATCGAAAAAACTAGGATTTGCGAACCTATAGACAACAGTAAAATTGTCAGCGCTCATCATAGAAGCAATTGGCATGTGAAGCTCCTAATTTTCTAAAGACAAAGCCACTACAGCACTTGACAATGCCATGATATTCGAGCTCTGCATTATAGTGGGAAACTATATGGTCTACCGTTTGGAGGGACTAAACACCATGGGCCTGATTATATTGGTTCCTTGAATGCTTTTAGCTTGGGCCACAAGTGTCAATCAGGATGAGCCGAGCATGGCTCTATGGATGCAGGTGCTAGCGTTTGAATTTTTTTGCATATGTAGAGCCTAGTTCTTTTGAGAGACACACTCCCTCCGTCCCTAAACAAGTATCGTTCTCATTTTTCGATGAGTCAAACTCTTTTAATTTTGATCAAATATATACAAGAAATAAATATTAATATTTGTAGTACATAATTAGGATCGTTAGATAGATCGTCAAATCCATTTTCATAATAAACTTATTTAGATAAAAATGTTGTTAATATTTTCTATAAACTTAGTTAAACTTAAGAAAGTTTGACCGGCACGAATACCATAGCGACACTTGTCTAGGGACGAAAGGAGTAGTTTGGTAGCTTGTGCAAAAACAGATTACTCGCATGCGCATTGACTCCATGCATGCAATTGATTGCATATGTTGAGCTTGGCTCATGAGAAACGGGAATATCCGGCATTTCCAACGAACCTGGCACGAGTTGTACAAAATACGGCATTTCCAGCGAACATGGCTTGATGGAGTGGTTGACGAGGCAACCAAACAACAAACAGTGAGGCTGGGCAGTGGAGATACATGTAAGCGATCACTGGCCATATTACGTAATAACGTGTTTTAGAGCAGAAGAGCAGTAAAACTAAATTCTGATGTAAACTTAACCTTGTAATATCAGACCGCAAGGGCCAATGAGCAATATATACAGCTGGTGGGGGCTCCCCCCACCCATGCGCATTGACTCCATGCATGCAATTGATTGCATATGTTGAGCTTGGCTCATGGGAAACGGGAATATCCGGCATTTCCAACGAACCTGGCACGAGTTGTACAAAATACGGCATTTCCAGCGAACATGGCTTGATGGAGTGGTCGACGAGGCAACCAAACAACAAACAGTGAGGCTGGGCAGTGGAGATACATGTAAGCGATCACTGGCCATATTACGTAATAACGTGTTTTAAGCAGAAGAGCAGTAAAACTAAATTCTGATGTAAACTTAACCTTGTAATATCAGACCGCAAGGGTCAATGAGCAATATATACAGCTGGTGGGGGCTCCCCCCTCCCCCCATATTACGTAATAACGTGTTTTAGAGCAGAAGAGCAGTAAAACTCAAACTCTGATGTAAACTGAACCTTGTAATATCAGACCGCAAGGGCCAATGAGCAATATATATAGGTGGGGGCTCCCCCGCGGGTGACATTATTAAAAAAAAGAAAAAAAAAATTGTAGCTTGAAGTGGAACACCAGTCAAGATAGCCCTAGAGAATAAATAAATAAATTATATTTCGCAAGACAAATGGAAAACTTGCATGGAAAAAACTAGTGACAAAGATACTACTCCCTTCATTACAAATTATATATCACTCTTGGTTTTATTATAAGTCAAATTCTTTTTTTAGAAAAAATGCACTAACATCTGGAACATCATATTTAGTTTCAATAATTTCGCAAAATATGTCTTAATCATGAATTTATTTGAATTTATGCGTATTAATATATTTTTTAAAGAAAAATTGTTCCAAATTAAGTAAGTTTGACTTAAGCATAGCTATCTAGACCTAAATCTATATATATACCAAATAATAAAGAGGCAAAATTTTAACCCATTTTTTTTGTCCACCCTGCCTAACTACCTAGACAGTGGAGAGTTTCTTCTCTCATACTTGTTTTAGCTGTTCCGTATTTATGAATCATACTCATATGAGTTAGAACAGCTTACGTCTAGCAATAGGAAGACTGGAACCGATTCCAATACATATTGGATCGCGTGCTCCGTATCTCATATGTGACGCGGACTTATAATGCACACTCATATAAGTTAGAATAAATCGTGTCTAGCGATAATATGGAGTCTGTTTCTTATATGTATTAGGTTCCGTCGGAACGCATGGACACGTTTGCTAATTATAACTTGTAGGATGCAGCCTGTAGGACCAAACGGTGATGCTATCGCCAGCACTCAGCAACTCAGATCAAGGCGAATGGTAGGCAGACCAAAATGCACCAGCGGTCTCTAAACTTAGGACCGAGGTGTCATTCAGGTTCCAAACTCTCATTTTTTTTATTTCTGGGTCCCTAAACCTATTTCGGGTCTCACCAACGGTCCAAACGGGTGCTCGCCCAACCCATTATCCTACGTGGCGTGCTGATTCACAGTTGACATGGAATCTACCATGGGGGGCCCACGTGTCAGCTCTTCCTCCTCTCCCCCTCCACTCTCATCAGGAATGTCGCCATCCTGCACCACGCCGCCGCCGGTGCGCCCGCCTCACTAGAGCTCAGCACATCGGCCCGCGCCTCCTCTTACACTCCGCCCTCTCTCGCCTCCACGACTCGTTTGCCACCGTGTCGTCTCCCCAGCGGCCTGCAAGCCGGCCCGATGACCTGCTTGGCACCCCGGCGACCCGCACGACTCGCCGCCCTAGTCGCCCCCACGACTCACGTGGCCCCGGTGACCTGCTCGGCACCCTATCGATCCGCGCAACAGCGCACCTCAGACTGCAAGTAGCAGAAGCCGGCGCCGGCGTCGGTGCCGTACACGAACTGCACCGCCGCGGACCCGCACTCATCCAGGGACGCCTTCCTACACGCAGCGTCGCTCACCCTCTCCAGCACCCTTGGGCTGGTGGGGTCGTTGAAGTAGGCCAGTCCGGGCAGCGACACCAGCCTTGCCGGTCTGCCGCAGCCGCCCGGCGCCGTCTCCACTCGTACGTCGCGGCGGTAGTACCAGGCGGCCTCGCTGAATCCCAGGTGGTAGTACCGCTGCGGCGGCTCGGCACAGACATAGGCATTGAGGATGTCGCGGGTGACGGCCATCATGACACTGTGACCGCGCCGCGATGTCCACGGACCACACGACGGCGGCGCCGCCGGCGACAGGGGCGGAGCGGAGCACTAGGTCGCCCGTGGCCATGTGCTCCGCGGCGGCCCCTCCCGACAGGGCGGGCGCGGTTGGCCAACCAGACCACCTGCGGGATGCCGGCCACGACGGAGGTCACAACTCACGAGCGCACCACGGAGCCATCCGCGTAGGTGACGTGGTGCGTGAGGGAGGTGTCCGTGTTGGCGAGGACAACACCGCCGCCGAGGAGGGCGAGGGCAAGGACCATGGCAAGGTGCATCGTCCTCACGCACCGCATCACAAACCGGACGGTCAGGGCGGGAGAGGTTCGGGGACTCGGGCTAGTGCGGCGACGAGGTGCTGGCCGCAGCGAGGGAGAAGGAGGAGGAGGCGCGGGAGCAGCTGCGGCAAGCTGTGGCGGAGAAGGCGGCGGTGGACAAGATCCGCACGCAGGCGAAGCGCCACGCGGAGCTGGTCGAGCAAGAGCCAGCGACGCCAGGCGGATGCGGCGGCGGTGTTGTTTTTGTCTCGCCATGGAGAGCAGGACGACGAGGAAATGAAAGGTTCGACTGACACGTGGGCCCCACATGTTAGATTCCATGTTAGGTGTGAATCAGCACGCCACGTAGGATAACAGGTCGGGCGAGCACCTGTTTGGACCGCTGGTGAGACCCGAAACCAGTTTAAGGACCCAGAAATCAAAAAACGAGTTTGTGACATGACACATTGGTCCAAGTTTAAGGACCGCTTGGTGCATTTTACTCAAATAAAATTAATTCGTATTGGCCACAAACTCGATCATGGATTCAACCAACTCAAACAGACCAGCCGGTAATATGCACTTGCACCACCAGCAAATCAATCTATGTATTTTGTTTCGTACAACGACTGAACTCGCCGACGATGCAGGTGCTCCACCACTTGCCGTTGCCAACCTCGGTGCGCTGGCCATCGGACGTGCTGCACGACATCCTGCTACGCCTTCCCGCGGACGAGGTGTGCCGCCTCCGGTTGGTGTGCCGGTAGTGGCGGTCGCTGACGTCCGACCCGCTCTTCGCCAGGGCGCACGCCTCGCGCCACCCGGCACCGAACGTCATCGTCGTCCACCACCACGTCGGCAACCATGATGACGAGGCAGCACCTACACGGCAACGTCATCAAGCGGAGGCGGATACGACGACCCATCGGCCGCCTGAGCATGCACGGCGAGCGCCTCTGCTCCTCGCATGGCTGGGGCCTGACCTGCATGCTGGACATGGTCACTGGTGACGTCATGGACGTGGCCGCTGAGCACCAGAGGAAGGTCAACTCAGTGACTCCATGTTGTGTTCTCGGACACGTCCCGGCCAACGGAGAGTACAAGGTGCTCTGTATCCAACCAGATTATAATTATTCTACCAGACGGTAGCAACAGACGTGTGAGGTCGTGGCACTGGACGGTGATGGCAGTGCCAGAAGGTGGAGATGGAGGCCGCGCCTTCCGGCCACTCTTAAGCCCTGATCCAGCTCCTGGAACATGACAGTTGTCGCCGCCTCGCCGCGCTCACCTACTTCCTGGTGCGCCCGAGCACGGAAGACAAACAACCCTACGTGGAGGCGGATGGTATAGCAGTGTTCGACCTAGCGACGGAGGAGTGAAAGCCGGCGACGCTCCAAGGGCCCCTGAGCAGCAGCGTTCTAGCTAGCACAGACATCGAGGGGGAAGACGACGAGCCCACCATGCCGTATCGTCCTGTTTGGTGGTACTGTACTGCAACGTTTGAGGGAACGATTTCAGTTGGTCAGGTTGGGCGACAGCTTGGTGGTACTCTACTGCGACGTTGAGGACTGCTCGACGGAGCTCTGGTTCTTGGAAGACATGAACGACGACACGGCGCCGCACTGGACCAGACGGTACACGTTGCAGCGCACGCCGTTTGGGGAGGACGAGCCTTCGTGTCCCTACAATACCATTAGGAGGCTTTTACACGTATGTCATTAAAAAAGTTTATAATTACACACAAGTTATTAAAAAATTTGACCGCACACGAGTACCATCGTTCTGAACTTCTTTGCTCTTCAAGCCATTCCGTCCGCTTTTCTACTTAACGGTGTCAAACAGACAGGTGAAATGACCATTTTACCCTACGGTGGGCTCCGTTTGTCAGCCACGCGCTCGAGCGAGGTGCAGGCGCGCCTCCCGCGCCGCCATGGCCAAGAAGAAGGAGATGGCGGGGAGCTGGAGCAGCGGCACGAGCCCCGACAGCGACGTCAAGGGCCCCAGCGTGCAGGCAGGCGGCCTCGTCCCCAACGGCGGCGGCGAGAGCCAGGAGGCAGCGCTCGTGGAGCTGCCGCAGCCGGTCGTAGCTGTGGATCTGACGCAGCGCGCGTGGAGGAGACGCGAGGAGGTCCACCCCGGCCATCTCGGCCCCGGACAGCCGGTCCTCGGGCGCGCGCGGGCGAGCTCGGCCCCGGACAGCCGCCGCGAACTCGGGCGCGGGCGCAAGCGAGCTCCGCCCCGGCCGCCGCAGGCGCGCGTGGAGCAGAGAGATGAGGTCGAGTTTGAGAGAGAGATAGAGGATAGGGATGAGAGGGGTATTATAGACGTTTTGATTGACTGGACCCACTTGTCAGAACTCTCAAACGGTGAAAAACGAACAGAACACCGACGGAATGGCTTGGAGAGCAAAGAAGTTCAAAACGATGGCACTCGTGTGCGGTCAATTTTTTTAATAACTTATGTGTAATTACAAACTTTTTTAATGGCACACAGTTAAAAACCTCTACCATTATGCGCCGGTGGTTCTCGACGACGGGAAGATGCTTGTGTGTATAGTATACTTGTGTGGGTGGACAGGACGTCTGCCATGAGAGCATACAATCCTGAAACATGTACATAGACTGATTTGGCCACATAGACAGGAGGTTGTGTTGTTGGCATGCACCGTGGAAGCCTTGTGTGCTTAAATCTTAGGGGTCCACGCTCATATGCGTTAAAACAACTTGCGTTAGCCATGATATGAATCCGTTTTTTATATGTATAGGATTCCGTTGCAACGTCCGGACATGTTTTGCTAGTCTATACCTAATCTATATATATACCTAATAATAAAGAGGTACAATTTCATGCCATTTTTTTCGTCCATACATTTTTTTTTTGTCCGTCTTCCTCTAACTACCGGACAATGGAGAGTTTCTTCCGTTCGGACTTATATATATATATAACCTATATAACCTGTGCTCACATGAGTTAGAATAACTCTTGTCTAGCGCGATACGGAGTCCGATTCCAAAACATATTGAGTCCTGGTTATATGTGTTAGAACAACTCGTGTCTAGCGATGATACGGAGTCCAAATCTAATATATATATTGGGTCCAATTTTTTTTAGTTCCGATTAGAGTCCTTTTTTGTTTTGATGTCTTTTTTATTTCTGTTGATGTCCGCGTGAGTCCAGTTATGATTTATGTGTATCCGTGTGTCCGGAGATCATCGCTTTTGGTTTAATTTTGTATATATATAAGCAGTTTTTTTCTCCTATGAAACACATAACCGAAAGCAATAACGAGAGCAATTTTAGCTTTACACGATTTTTTTCTACCGTTTCTTATCCAATGCAGTTGCGTACGTACATGGTTTCTGATTTGCACCAATTTTTTGCTTTTATTTTTTCTCCAACGTACTTACGTACATGGTTTCGATTTGTTTAGTAATTTTTTGCTTTTACTTTTTCTCAAACGTACGCACGTACATGTTGATTTCGTAATTGTTCCCCTGCCGAGGATCAACACTTTTGGTTACTTTTTCTCGTGTGAAAAGGTAAGCCGGAAGCAATGAGAAAAAATTTGGTATACAACCATTTATTTTTATACACCTCCTAGATTCTAGTCACCTAAAATCTGGAGGAGGCGACGCATCCACGCCCGCGCCATCTTTCTTCTCTCCGGTGGCCCACGCCACTCTCCTCTCACTTTCCCAACTCCGGTGAGCTTCTCCTCTCTCTCTCTCTCAAATCCAGTGACCTTAGAAAATCGAGGAGCCCGAGGGAGGCTGGAAGGTACGCATGCGTACAAGGTGAGCTGGCCATGGTATACGTACATGTATCATGCTATTATTTTGTCAACACGAATTATGTTGAGCCTACAAGACAGTCTGCGCAGCGCGGCGCGACTCGGCGAATGGTCCGTAACATTCTACAGGCCTGGCCTTTGGTGTAAACGGATGGCAGATACGTTACCACCAGGCAGCGAGTGTCTGTCGGCCGCAAGATGTTGAACCAAGTATACGTACATATTTTGGGTTTGCTTCACGTTATGCAATGGAACTCCATCTTGCTGGGTCCACGTGTCATGGCTGGACTGCATGGGAGGAGACAGGGGCGGAGCCAGCCCTGCTCATACGTGAACTTAAGTCATGACGTAGTACTTATGACATCAGTGGAATTTTTGGGAGGAGATCCAATTCAATTCGGTCCTAGACAGTGCAATCACCACGTACCGTCCGCCAAAACATCTCAGCTAATTGGCAAGTCGAGTCCGTGAGTTTTCTAGAAGCGTTATCGCAAGGGATAATTGTTGCGAAAGGAACCGGCTCCGGATATCTCTCGGGCCTTAACAAATTTTATGCATTTAATTTCTTTTATGTGCATCACGAATTGTACTTTAGCTCATTGCATTTGCTCATGAATAAGAGAGTCAAAAACACAATTATTTTAGAAGCAAACAAACATTAAAAAAAACTCGGACACGTGGAGATAGCATATATGCGCTCCCCGAGCATTGTGCTTAGATAGAGGACTTCTCACTTATCATGGATTCATCTGGAATGAAATAGTTTTTTTATCCTGTTGTAACGTATGGGTATATTTGCTAGTAATATTAAAGAGCCAGTCCAGCGCCTGCTTCCTTTCTTATTCATCCTCTGTCTTCCCATTCGTGTCCGTGTCCGAGTCCGAGTCTCTGTTTCAGCTTTTTAGTACGAGCTCGCCAAGAGGGGCAAACAAAAATATGTGACAGAGTAAAACTCCATGTCCCACACAGAGGGCAAACAAAAAACACGTGATGGAGTAAAACTCCATGTCCAACACAAAGAAAAAAAAGAGAGTAGAACTCCATGTCCAACTTGCATTTGTTCTTAGGCTCAATGAAGCCCACAAAGCCTGCAGCCTAATAGTACAGGTCATATGGATATGGATTTAGCCCAGTTAAACATCATGGCCCAGACGCAGGCCTAGCACGCAACCCACGCAGAGGAAAGCGCACGGTGGAACTGGAAGGCCAGGGTGACAGTTGTTAAAAGGCAATCGGCAACCACCCGTGGGCCCCCCCTAACCATTTCGTCTTCCTTGCTCCGATCGGAATCAGAAGCAGAAGCAGAAGCAGCCGCGGCGACAAGAGATGAGCTCTCGAATCGGAATCACCCCATCCTCTCGCTCAATTTCGATCGGATCACCCCCGTCCATGGCTCGATTGCAAGCCTCTCCTCCGTATTGCTGTGATCGGAGCCCCAATTTGGTTCCCATCTCCGTCGAATTGCCGTGTTCCCGCAGTCGATGTCGTCGCCAATTCCCTCCGCTGTGTTTGCATTTGGCAGGGAGGATCGAGCCTCAGCCGCTGGTTCTGTTGGAGAAGAGCAGTTGCCAGCCACCACCGCCAGCCCAGCGCGCGGACAAGTTCCGGAGGCGAGAATGGCGGAACCAGAGCTGGAGCGGGGCGACGCCGCCGCCTTCATCCGCAACGCCCCCTTTGACGTCCACATGTCGCTCGTCCGCCGCCTGTCGCCCAAGTGGATCTTCCGCATGCGCTTGGTCTGCAAGGCGTGGCGTGACAAGCTGTGCCACGGGGCCCTCCTCTTCCCCCTCCACGGCTTACAGCCGCCGCAGCCGCTCCTCTGCTTCGGCCTCGCCGCCTGCCCCGACCGCTACATCCAGTCCGCGACTACTGCGTCGAGTCCCTCGACCTCCGCTCCGGCAAGCTGCGCGCCGTCTTCCGGTTCACCGAAAACGAGGGCTACGGCTTCGACGACAACGACCTCGAGGGCCGTGACGCTCCCCCCATCGACGACTTCCGTGTCGACTACAAAAGGATGGAGGTGAACTACGCCGAAGCCTTGGTCAAGCCCCAGCTCCAGGTCCACGCTTCCCTAGACGGCTACCTCCTCGTCTCCTTCCTCAGCGCCTGGTACTTCATCAACCCCGCGACGCGCCACTGGGTTGCCCTCCCTGACCTTACGCGCTACGACGTGGTCGGGTTCTATGAGCACGTCAGTTCCGGCGAGTACCGCGTGCTCTGCTTCAGCGGCCTCTGGCACGCTGAATATCCGGCTGTCTACGGCGTCCTCACGGTGAGCACTGTGCAGCTGCGGTTCATCGGGTGCCCCATCTCGCCGGCCGCGCCCGATGATCACGGGCTAGGGTTGGGGGTGGACAGGGCCGTCATCTCCCCACCCATCCAGTTCAAACGCAACCTGCACCTGCGCTGGCCGCCGCAGCAGACCCAGGGATACCACATACTGGTGTTCGACACAGAGAAAGAGGAGTTCAACTGGAAGAGCCCTCCTCCTGTGAGGGACAGAGAGGTGAGTCTGCTTGAATTTCCGACCGGCGACCTCGGCCTGTCCGTCTCCAGGAAGAACAGGGCAACGCTAGAGCTCTGGTGTCTAGAGGATTACCAGAACGAGGTTTGGGTCCTCGTGCACCGGATTCAGTTGGCGATCCAACAAATGCCGGTTCTGCAGGATGAAGATCTTTGGATTCCAGCTGTTGTCTCACCAGAAGGGGATGTGTTGATCGAGTCCTGGCACTGGCTGTTGCATTGTGACAGGAATGGGAATTTGCTGCGCAAGTTTCGGCTTCCTAAGAGGGTGTTTGTCAGGCATGTGCTCAGGGAGAGCCTTCTTCAGCATCGGATGTTCCGGACGCCCAAAGTTGATGGTGCTATTGATGCACCTTTGTTCCATTGGCTGTGTAGTGATCCCAGCTCGTGATGGCAATTTTCAGCATCTATGCTTTACATGATGTGGTGGTTTCTGTCGATGAAGCTTGACTGGTGATGGCAATTTTCAGCATCTATGCTTTACTTCTCCCGATCTCTGGATACTGCAGGGATAACAGTAATGACCATAAGCTCCTGTTTCCCTTGGTTGTATGAAACTCTCTGATGTTCCAACTTCCAATACTCTGTATGTTGGATGTTTGCTGAAGTTTGGGACTGTGAATGAATGTGAGGGATTCAGGTGCTATAATTGAGTATTCTGGTTGCAGAGCATCCCTTTCCACCTTTCCTTAATTTTGGAAATTGATCTAATAATGCACCTGACGATTTTCTATGAACTGAGAAATGCTTATCTCGTTTTGGTAGAACTATGGAAGTGAAAGTTTGATTCTGCAGTTTGACTGCTTCCGGGAATTCACTGTGATGATTTTTTTTGTGTGATTTTTTCACTATTTTTGTTACTTTTCTGGGAATTGCTGCCATATTTTTCCCTCTTGATTTTTATATGACCATTGAATTGTTGCAAGAGTGCTAATTCATTGTGTTGATTTTTGTTTATTGTTCACTATTTTAATGTCACCCCGAAACTCTGCTGCCTGAATCCTGAACGGAATGCGCTGAGCATACTAGATCCACTTCTCAGTTAGGAGTTCTTGTAACTATATACGGTTCGACATTTAGTTTTTCAGGGCTGGTTAGACATTTAGTTGAGCATATGTGAATTAGATACTACTATAATACTATTGATATGGATCATGAAACATGAACCAATTAGCTTGTCAGATCAATTTCTCTCATATTCAAACTGTTTGTCTTGTTCATTGAACTGATAGTTGTGGTCACACATTCAAACTTCTCTTTAGTTGTCAATTTTCATCAACTCTTCAATTCAATGCTCTGTTCGGAACCATGATTATGGAAGGGTAGGCAATGTGCCTGATGATTTCTTGTTTGTTACAGGATAACAGGAAGACTTGAAGCTTTGCATGCTTCCATAATCGTCAGACGTGTTCTACTAGTATTAGTCAGGTTGCTTAGGATGATGTCAAAGTCATATTTTATTGTTCACAGTTGTCAAAATCTAACTCTGCCTGCAATGACACGATCGCGAAAAAAAAATAACTCTGCCATGAAATTGAATTTGAGCAGAGTCCATATCTGGCAAAGGTATTCTATACACTATAGATTGTCGTATTATATTACTCTAGTTACATAGCTGATGTCGTTGTCAGGTTTCAGTGTTTTCTGTTACTGAAATAAAAGAACTGGTATCGGCAATTCTAGTTTGACTGAATTTCAATAGAGACGGCACATGCAAAAGGTTATGAAAGAAATTGAAGACGCTTGTAATGGAGGGATGCAATTATGCTGCACAACAGCAGAAGTGAAGGTGAGAAGGTGTCGTCTGTACTCGACGATGGTGTGAGCAGCCTGCCGTATGGATGATTAGATGTGAAGGTAAGATAATGATCCAACGGAAATAAGAATTTGAGGTGACATGGAGCAACCTGGTTGTAGAGAAATAGGATTTAATGGCTCTTAGTGGGTTCCATCGATATAGGTTATATAGATAAATACGACCTCTATTAGACGCACACATGGAGCTGTCTAGTAATGAACCTTGATTGCCGGCGCATGAATGCATACTAGCTCGAAACACACGCTCCGCTGCGCGGGCATCATGAACCATGCAGAGTATAAACCGTGCAGAGAAATAGTGGACAAACACTGTAGTGAAACAATGACAAACAACGATGCACAGTGACGAGGATTGTAAGAACAGCAGTGAACAGCGACAAACAGTGATGTGAGCAGTGAAACCCTCGATTTATCCGCGCACAAGAGGGCAACCATAATGTGTTTAGACCAAATAGTCCAAATACGTGCTTTATTACATTCACTGGCTTCACATAATCATCCTAGCTCTGGACTATAGGGACTCATTGTCCAACCACCTTTTAGCCATAGTAAATGATTCTTCGGGATTTGTTTCAGGAGGAATATGGCCGCCACCCTACATCATCCACAAGCAACCAGACAGGGTTTTGTTATGCACGTGCGCGTGCGCGCACATACACACACAATCAACACGAGCATCTGATTTATATCCATCTGATATATAAGAAAAATGAAATGAGAGACCTACCTTTATTGTCGCAAACGTCAGGTTGGTAGCATACATGATTGTGAATCTGCAGTAACGAGGACATTGTAGATTCTTTATTAGACCAGAAAAAATTATTAGGACTTTGGGACATTAAGGCATGAATTTGAGAAATGCATTCATAGAAACCATCTGCTGCACATTCTTGTGTCCGACCCCAACTATCTAAACAAAAATTTGTAAACAATGACGTGATAATGGACTATATATAGAGAGAAGATGACGAGATAATATTGGACTATATAGAGAGAGAAGACTAGAAAGCGGGGGCACAAGAAGAGAACTTAACCCTGCTGCCTGGTTATCAAGGTGCCAGGCCCTCCAATCATCAACTATGGAGAAATTGAAGGATCTGGTCCATGCTTGTGTGCCCATAAACGGTATGATGAGGTCATGGTCTCCACTGCGCAAAGAATAGGAACTTGTAGCTAATTAAGCACAACCATATGGAGGTAGATTCAAACTACTGATAATAACTTGCATATTATATATATATACTGCCTCCGGTAGGGAGAAGTTGTTTCTGGCAAAAGAAATGGAACTGCAATTTTTTGAGATGTGTTGTAAACGTATTGTTCACCCAACCGGAGAAAGTGAGTTTTTCACCTGTATACAAGAGCGCGATATCCTCTAATGCTGAGGTTGAAATGGTATTTGATGCTGTTGGGAAGATCATACACATAAGGAAGAATTGGAGGTCTTTTGCACCTAATCCATTCCACCACTGTTCCCTATCAATTTTTTATATCTTTGGGTCATTTGATCAATCCACATTACTTTAGAACTACTAAGTTTGTCTCAATTACCTCCTTGATTCCAATAGCAGCCCTAACAACATTATCATTGGCCCAAAAGTAGGACAGGTAGTAGCGGTATTCCTGGGTTTTGGAAAAGGAATTTAAAATTAAATTTAGGTAGTAGATTGTGTGGAAGAAACCGATCTCAATTTGCATGAACATAATAATAATCCATATGATGCATGACATACATAGAAACAATAAAAGGGAGGTTCATCAGGTGCTTCACTAAGCTGATAGTGGTAGCGTTCCTCTGCTAGAGATGACACACCTTCCAGAGCACCTCTTCGTTTTTGTGAAGGAATATGACATATTGGTCGCAATATGTTCCCTTTTCTAACTTCTGACATGAGCTATGGAGGTGCAAAGAACAATGTTATTAAGATAATTGGGAATGGTAAGATCAACAATTATAGGAGATAAAGGTGAAAATTGAAGCTTACCTTGCTAATAGTCTGTACCACATCAGCACAAGGTTCGTTTGTCGGGTTTAGGAAATCTCCTTTGCAGTTTTTGATGAAAGCCTTAGAAACGTAATGATGAATGCAAGAAGAATGGGGATCGCAAGCAGAAGTGTTCTTATAAGGGTGCTGCATTTCTCAAAAAGGCATATATATGAGAAGGAACAAGAATATATACCTCATATTGTTGGTCAGAGATGATTCCAAATGAATGAGAAAACGTAACTCTGGAGTTGGTATCAATTTTGTCGCCTGTAAAAGGATTACCAACAATATAACCCTGCATAAATCAATAATGGATCATTAAGCGACATAGCTTCAAATTAGGGATGCAAGCGAGTTTGTTCGCAAACTCGCAAGTAGGCTTAATTTTACAGATTATGCGGGTAACCTGTAAAACTAAGCCCATTTGCATCCCTACTTCAAATAGTTCACTCAAGAATTAAATTAGAAGCAAGAGCTAGCTATATATATTTGTATGCTACGCTAGCAGAATCACATGCCTTCAGTTTAATAAGTGGTTGTTGCATGTCTTCAATTCCTGAGGCATATGCAATCACACGTGAATTAAATTAGGATTATGACAATGAGCTATCCCTTGGAAATATAATCAAGTAAGAGGGAAGCAAGACTACCTGGAGAGTGAAGAACTGAAGATAAGGAGTTTAGTCAGTTTACCTTCTGAAATGTAGTGTGCAATCAGAGGAACCACCTTTCCCGCATATGAATCTCCACCAATGTAGAAAGGACGATCCAAAAGATGCTTTGGGTGATCATCAAACCACTGTATGACGGGAAACAAACAAAAGGGTGGTCACTAGGATGCCCTATTTTTTAAAATTTCCTCGGTTGAGTTATACACCAAGGTTGTTGTGTGTCTCAACCTTTCTCAAAAATGTCAAGACCTGCCTAGAAGATGAGATGTCTCCAACTTCATAAGCTTTGGGATCACGTGCATAAGAGAAACCAGAACCAACAGGCGAGTCCAGGAAGAGAATGCTTGCCATCTGGTAACAATGATGGAACATTTATATTCATCAAATAGAATCAAGAAAAATGGTTGTGATGATGAACAACCAATGTATCTCATCCTCACCTGTGTCCAGGAATATGGATTGTAGACCAATCTCGGCAATGTGCCGTCATATGGTTCCACAACAAACTTTAGAGGACCTGTGAAGCTCTGAATAACATTAGTATTGTACATTCATCTTTTAGTCTTTGAGGTTACGAAGTTTGTGTGATACAAGGGTAAGTGTGCTGCAAATAGCTGAGGTTTGCGGCTATGTCTATTATAAAAAATACAAATGGCCTATTTGTTTGGGCTTCCTGAGAACTTTTGGATCTCAGCTTTGAGACTTCCAAAAACCAAAAAGCTCTCGGAAGCCAAAAGTCAGAAGCTCCTCAAAGTGAGCTTTTGGGCTTTTGGCTCATGGGAACTTTTTGGCTTTTAGAAGGTCCTAAAGCTTCCACGAAGCTGAAACAAACAGGGCCAAAGTTTGTATGGCGTACTCCCTCTGTTCTAGAACATAAGGAATTTAAGTTGTTCTAAGTTAAATCTTAGTACTACTAACTAGAGCCCTTCAATGGAGCTTATGAAGGATAATTTAAATTGAATAGCTAAACTACCCATCTCTGCCGTTATAAAAGATAAAATAAAGAAACCCATCTAAATTGTATCTAAACTAGCAAGATAGTCCACGCAAATAGCGTGGGTAGCTAGTTTCCTTTGATGGTGGCATTTGGATATTTTACTTGAAAATAACCTTTCCAAATAGTTTTTGGTTTATTGCAAAGTTTTCATTTATTTATTGATTGTAGTTTATCCTCTCCCCGTGAGCCATATGTACAAAATTTGTTTAGCTATCGTCAACCAATCCCTTAGTTCAGAGATACTGGCATTTACTCCTCTTCGTTTTTTGTCACTCCTATTTGCTGGCTATGAGATTCCTGTCGAGGTAAAATTAAGGTTACCTAAAGTTTCCTCTTTGTGAGCCCCATCGATAAAACCACAATCAAAATATCTCAAATATTTCATTCCTTGGACCTCTTGTAAATTTAATTCTTTTTATGATCCTATGCCTTCTCTTGCGGATTCAGCTGCCTTTTCCCCCTCAGACATACCTGAATATATCACAATTCCACTCATGTGTTGTTAAGTAATTCCTGCCTGAAGTTCTTTGACGATTTTTTTATAAGAGTACCAAGAGGTTGATGTCCGGTTTGGATAGCTCGTGTGCATGCATGTAATCCATCACATCAAAAACGTTACTTGTACAAACTGATCATAGATCAGTTGGTTGGGTTCCCTGTGGTGGAACCTGTCCATCCGGGTTCAAGTCATCGACTTGGCACGGGTGCTCACATTTTTCTAGATTTATTTCAGGATTTAACGGCGCTATGCTTTCAGTGGTAGGCGACGTCCCTATTGACAGCGAGACGCTTGTAGTGACTTCATAAATTTCAAGATCTGTCAGCTCAGTCCTTTGGAGGTACTCATAGGAATAGGGTTTGCGTACGTGTGTTCATAGGGTGAGTGTGCGTGCGTGTTATGGGCGTCTACGTTGTACTGTGTAATTCAAAAAAAAATCCTTGTGGTTTCATTTGTTTTAATTACCATGGAAAAAATCTAATATAAATTATTAAATTTAGATATTTATTACTTGTATTTGGCATGGGCTCTTTATGTATATAATTTCCTTCTCATTTTGTATAGAAATCAAATTACTAATTTATATTGTAATTCATTCTAATTTATTACTTTTTGAAAATTGATGACTACAATTGCACGATATAAAACTATTTATTTATTATATTAAATATGATTTGTGTAAGATTTAGCTTTGAAACTAAGTCTTACTTAAATTTAGAAATATTCCCTACATGGCATATTCTAACTTGTAGTCGTACTTTATTATTTTGAGTGGGAACTATAATATAGTTCTTTGTCTATCACATAAATTATTACTTTTCTATATTTTTTCGTTCTGAATTTAGTGACTTTGGTTAAATCTAGACCTTATTTAGCATGGCTTATTTGGTTAGATCTAGACTATTTATCATTAAAAAAAATCAAATGGTGCATATTCTTTTTCTTTTTTTTTGATTCATCTCGTAATTTCTAGATCCCCTCTAGGTGAATATCTCCTTTTGCTTGTGTTAACTTTGTTTTACATGGACTCTTTATTTAGCTTTTTTTTGGGGGGATTAGACCCTCGACTGGTTTTTGGCCCCGTTCTTCCAAGCACCGTTCGGCGAGGCCATCCGGGCCGAAGGAAACCTTCACAACACCAAACACCAACTCTGTCGACGACAGAAGGAGAACGGAAAGCTGCGGATCCCAGAAGCAGAACTCCCGACGGCGGTAGAGGAGTAGTTGGGACACAGGGATGAGAAGACAGTAACGCCCCCGTACCAGTGGAGAGTGGTGCTTGGCCGGTTGTGGGCAAGTTGTAATTTCATCTTGCCCTGAGTATGCCCTATAAATACTCGATGGGTAGTAAAGGAGAATAAATTAATGGCCATTTACTCCAAAATTTATTATCGTTCTGTTCCGTCCTGTACCCTTTGAACCCTCGCTTTTATTTCCCTGTGGGACAACCTGGGCCTCCTCCGCGCTATTCCTTAGCGAGGGTAGGTGGCCAAGCGAAGCCCCCACAATTTTTTTTTAATTTCTAACTTATATATAAATTGCAACTTTTCTCATTTAATATTCCAAATTTACTATTTGTCAATTGTATTTGGCATAGTGTTTTGTTCTAATATATATAAGTTGTGGAGTGCTCTTTTATTCTTTTCGATTATATATTTCGTGTGAGAGCAGTGTATTCATTAGATTAGAACTCCTATTGCCAAAAGACATCATGTCATGTCGTGTTTTCCTTATCCCAATTGAGTTTTTTTCTAATTAATAAATTATAGCTCTAACTAATATATGTTTAATGTAGACCATTAGATTTTTCATAAAATCCAACGGTGCATTTTTGCTCTTTTTTAATTAACCCCTTTATCTATCAAATCTAGACCATAGATCATGATAAAATCAAAAGGTGTATTTTTTATTTTTTTATTAATATCATATTTTTGGTCAAATTAATAATATTCTAAACTGTGACAACTCAAAGGCACTGACCATTCTGAAACGCAAGTGCGCTGAAGGCGCTGCACCGGGGCCCGCCCGACAGCCACAGGAGCAAGGGGTCCGTGCGCGGGCTCCGCTCCGACTCCACGAAGTAGTAGAACAGCTCCGCCCCGGTCTCCTCCTCTGTCACCACGTACCTGCATCGTCACGTGTACATACAAGTTCAGCCGGACAGGAGCAGGCAGCAGAGCATCGACGTCGACGGGCAGCCGGCCGGCGCCCGGCGGGCCGGGGGCGCCTTACCCGGTCTCCAGGTAGAAGGGAAGAGGGCCATCGAATCCCGGCAGGTGGGTGACCACCGTCGATGTCGCCGCCGCCCGGGAGAGCCTAGGCTGCGGCAGCACAAGGACGGCAAGGCAGGCAACGAGAAGCAAGGGCGGCGAATTCGAAGATAGCCGGCGGCGGCGGTAGTGTCCGGCTCCGGCGTGCATCCAAAGAGCAGCATGCAACGCCATTCCTGGATCGAGCTTTGGGACTGCTTTGGGTGTGTGTGGTGAATGGTGAGGTATTTTGCCCGGGAGAATAATATAATCTCTCTGCCACCTGCCTACTCCCTCCATCGCAAGAAAGAGTTCACTCCTCATATCGAGCGGCAAGGCAGCTATCATGCATATATGCTGAATATGATATTGACTGGCACTCGATCTCCATTGGATTGACACCATCATCATCACTGGTCACTAGTACTAGTAGAGAGGAAAAATATCTAATAAGCCGGCATAAGGTGTACATCACCATAAATAGGCTTACACAAAAGTCCTCATCCGTGCTCCCCATGTACTAGTACTAACTTTCCTTTTGTTTGGACAAAAAAAAAACATGTGAGGATTTAGAATAACTCTAGCACTACTATCTAAAATGGAGCACTATATTCCTGTTTATTTTTTTAAAATTACACAGTACAACGTAGACACCCAAAGCACGTATGCACAATCACCCCAATGAACACACGTACGCAAACTCTACCCCTATGAGCACCTCCGAAGGACTGAGCCGGTAAATCTTGAAATTCACAAAGTCACCACAGGCGCCTCGCTGTCGACGGGGACGTCGCCTAACATTGAAAGCATAGCGTCGTTAAATCCTAGAATAAATCCAGAAAAATACAAACACCCATGCCAAATCGAGGACTTAAACCCGGGTGGACAGATTCCACCACAAGGAGCCCAACCAACTGGTCTAGGATCAGTTCGTGCACTATATTCGTGTTTAGGTAGTCACCTACTTTCATTGGTCCTGTTTTCAGTTGTTGTCTTCAGCAGGACTGTCTAAAATCACAAATACATGTTGCCTCTCTATGATTTTCATTTAGCCTCCACAATTTAACCAACAATATAGTGTGTACATAATTTAAACCAACATAGAGTTAACATAATAATATAACACAATATAAATTTAAATTTCCAAAGTCAAAATTCAAATGTCAAATTGTTCACATCAACAAGAGAAACTAAAACAATATGCATGTCAAATACAACCACACTACGACACACCATGATGTGCCCACAAATACTCCACCAAATTATCACAGAGCCTCTCATGCATCGTTTGGTCTTCAATCTCATTATGTAGACGCAAGAATTCACTCAACACAAGTAGATCGCATCGCTGGTACCCCTGGGCTCAACACCACACCACCATCTTGATCATAGTCAAAGTCTTCTTATTCGGCCCTGCTCATTATTTTCTATGATCATGTTGTGTAAGATTACAGCAATGGTCATGATGTACGTAATGGTGTCATTGTCCCAAGTCCTACAATGTCCCCTCTGTAACACCCCAACTTTTCACCTAATCTAAATGAACAATAGTAATGCTATTGATTATTGATTAACAAATAGCTAAAAATAAGCAGTTTATTTTTTTTCCCATCTCAAATGACGTCACCAACCACCCAGCTTAGTACAAAGATTATATGAGTCACATGTTCAACTATATTGACAACAAACAAATATATAACCATATTGTACAAGCACATAATAAAAACCTTTTGGTGTTTGGCAAGCAGCATTCCATAATTCCTACTCATAGAAAGAAAGTCAATAATTGATCCTGTAAGGCTAAGCATAACTTAGTTATAGTTTGCTGTCAGACCCAACAGTATCACTTCACTTAGCTCACAAAGATACCAAGATCGGCCAGAGCCAATCAGCACCTCTAGCTTTTGGGCTTCATCATCCGGCCATTACCATCCATCATATAAGAATGGGTTAATTGGATTGGTGCCATTACAATTCTCGCGTTTCTGAGAAATATCATTACTATTAGTCTTATTGTAAGCGTGCCATTACAATTACACTAGAGTCTGAAAAATGTCATTATGTACACTTGCCGCGACCTGTGGCCCACATACAGGTGTATACAGCTAGTACGTACATTCGTATGGACCCTTTTGCCCCTAGCTTCTCCATACATGCGCCCGTTTGACTGTATCGAGTCAATCCATCCATTCCCCACCGCCTCCTCTCTCTCTCTCGCTCGAACCCTAGCTCGTCGGCCGCGGAGGCGACTGCTCGCGGCGGCGGCGGCGACTACTGCTCGCGGCGGCGGTGACCGCGACCGATGGTAGTCGATTGAAGATCATGGTGCAAGCTTGAGTACTATGGCGGTCATATCCTCCATGGAGGACGAGGTGCATGGTAACCGTGTTGCGGCAATGGACGACAGCATACCGAGGTATGCATCTGAAACCATTCAATCTGACATGACTTTCCATCAACGAATAGGCTAGTTGTTACTGCAATTTGTTGTAGAACTCGTTGACTTGATCTGCTTACTTCCTGCTAGGACCAACCTCTTCTCACTAAAGATTAAAGTTGAAGGTTTCAATACAACAGATGCGTTGGGTAGGAAAGTTTACACCAAAGGTTCTGTGATTAAGTGGGATGTCGAGATAGGGTCATTTTCTTTAGACTTGTTGAGGGAAAGCTTGCGGAATGAAGTTAAATGGGCCTCTAACCAGTCTGCATCTTTGTGGTTCTTTGACAAAAATGTGCAAGATGTCAGATTAGACAGTGACATTCAGATGATAGATTTCTTTGACATGTATAAGTCTGAAATGTGTTGCCGTGTGTTGGTAGGAGTCTTTGATAATGTTGTTTCTGATGCACTTGAGTATGTGTTGTTAGAGCCTTTATGTGTTATTCCACCTGATGATGGAGCAGTCAACCCTACTGATTTCAATCCTGATGCAAATGCTCGTGCTGCTGCCATTCCAAATGCAAGTGCTTCTACTGTTGCCATTCCAAATGCAAATGCTTCTACTGTTGTCATTCCAAATGCAAATGCTTTAACTGCTGCCAATCCAAATGCAAATGCTTCTGTTGCTGCCATTCCAAATGCCCAAGCTTCTACTGATGCCAATCCTTGTACTGCTGATGAGTCGAACGTAGAGCCTGATAGGGAGCCAGACATCTTTGACAATGAAGAGGAGTATGTTGGAGTTGATGATGAACACATCTACATTTCAGTACCACCTACACACCCAGCCAACACTGATAGTGTCCAAGCATCTATTGATAATGCTGATCCTGTTGTTGCCGATGGAGGTGCTCCTCTTGAGGCAGAAATTGATGATGCAGATCCCCAGGAAATAACTGTCCTCCACGATCCTAAAAATCCAAAGATTGTCAAGGGACAATTGTTTCCTGACATAGTAACATTTAGGAAAGCTATTAGACATTACGCTGTCAAGAAAGGTTTCGAGTTAGCTAAGTTGCAAACTGACAAGACAAGATTCATTGCACATTGTGCTGCCGAATGGTGCCCATGGAGAATTCATGCATCTAGGATTTTTTATAAGAAAACAATACAGGTTGGTGTGGTCCTTTTCTTACTGTTTGTAACTTATTCAGTTATACATATGATATTCATCTTAATTTCTTATGTAGATTAAACATTGCTTGCTGAACATAATTGTCCCACTACAATGCTAAGGGAGGGAAAGATGGCTAGTCAAGGTTAGTGTGCAGATAGGTTGGCGAACTGGGTCAAGAAGAACCCAAATAAAGGAGCCAAGGATGCAAAGGAAAAGCTAGAAGGAGACTATGGCATTAAACTAAAATACTCCAAGGCATGGTCAGGTTTGACGGTTGCCCTACAACAGGGTTCATGGGAAGTACTCAGAAAGTTTTCAGCTATTGTTCAATTGGAAAGCACAGATAAAAATAAGTTCTCTTGGAAGCATTGTAGAGATAGAGTTAGAATGGAAGAAGAAGAAGCGCTTCAAGAGGATTTTTATAGCCCTGAAGCCATATATTGATGGCTTCTTAGCTGATTGTAGGCCATTTATAGGTGTAGATGCGTTTGCATTACGTGGCAAATATACAGGGCAGTTGGCATCAGCAACTGTTGTGGATGGGCACAACTGGTTATACCATGTGGCATATGGTGTTTTTTATTCTAAAACAGAAGACAATTGGAAGTGGTTCATGCAGCAGTTGCATAGAGCAGTGGGTTCACCTATAGGTTTAGTCATATGTACTGTACTTGAGAAGGTTGTGGGTGTAGTGTTCCCTGAAGTAGAGTACAGAGAGTGTATGAGGCACATGTACATCAACTTTATGAAGCATTATCAAGGAGATGTGTTTACTGACCACCTGTACCCTGCTGCAAGGAGTTACACAGAAGGGTTGTTCAGGTGGCACATGCAGAAGATAGCAGATTTTGCCCCAGATGCCATTGATTTCCTTCAGCAACATCACAAGTTGATATGGTACAGGTGTGGATTTTCATAGCTAAGTAAATGTGACTATTTGACCAATAATGTTTCTGAGAGTTTCAATGCTCAGGTAAAGAAGTTGAAAGGACTTTTGCTGCATGAACTGGTAGATGGGATTAGGGAACTCATAATGGAAAAGAGGTACTTAAGAAGGCAGATTGGTAAGGATATGTAGGATGGTATACTACCCAATGTCATCAAAGACCTGAACACTATAAGCAAAAACCTCAAAGTTATGAAGGTTGCAAGAAGTGATGAAGGCATAGCTGAAGTAACACTTATAGATGACTGGAACAACCACAAGAGGCACATGGTTGACCTGCAAGGTCACTCCTGTTCATGTAGGGAGTGGCAAATCACAGGAAAACCATGCAAACATGCCCTGGCATGGATTCTTTCCAACAGAGAAATTAAAATAGTAGATTTTGTGCATGAGTACTACTCTATTTAGAGATTCAGGGCTGCATATGCTTCTAGAGTTGAGCCATTGCTAGACAGGTCATAGTGGCCACAGGTTGACCTAGGCTTCAAAGTTTTCCCTCCTCTGCTAGGTAGAGCTACAGGTAGGCCGAGAGTGATGAGAATTAGAGGTCGCCTTGAGAAAAATGCTACCAAGAAGAAGGTTAGGTGTAAAAGATGTGAAGATTTTGGGCACTTCTCTAAGACTTGCAAACAACCAGAGCTAGGATAAGATGGTGAAGTTGGACTGAATTCAAAGGAAAAAAGGTAAAATGATCTGTATGTCTCTTTCCAATTCTTGTGACATTCCCTAGTTTTTGCTAATCATAGTGTGCATCTGTAGGAAAAGGCAACAGCTGAAAGATGATGACAGTGTTGGACCTTCACAAATGAAGAAGAAGACAACACCTAAGAAGAAGGGTGCACCCAAGAAGAAGAAAACACCCAAGAAAAAGAAGACACCTAAGAAAAAGAAGCAGCAAAAGAAAGTTGTTGCTCCAGCAGCTAGTGTTGTGAGAAGCCTGAAGGACTTCTTAAACACCATATGATATGTTGTGATCACAAGCATGAAATTAGTTTCTTTTATGGCCTGAACGTTATGTATTGTAGGCCTTGAACTTGATGTACGGTACGGCCTGAACTTGATGTATGCTAGGGCCTAAACTCGATGTCTGTTATGGTCAGCACTGAATGTTTGTTATGGTCACCCCCTATTTCTGTTTAGTAATGGCCTAAACTTGATGAATGCTAGGATCTGAACCTATTTGTGTGTTCTGGTTATAACAAGATATTTTATAATGAATCTGAACCACCTTATGTGATATAAGCATGTAAATTATGTCCTCATTTATTCATGGTGTGCATGGACAGTTGCTGTTCCAAACAGAAACATCTATTTATTCATCACAAATTCACAAATTGATCACAGTTATAAGAAAAAAAAAGAAGTCATGTTGCACACATTAATGATTCATCACAAATTCACAAAACCTATAGAAACATGCATTCCTTGATCACAGATACACAGCTTTACGCATGTAAATAAATATAAATTAGTAGTAGCACTTGACAACCTATAGGCTAAGATCACTGAACTCCAAACTACTGGAACCAAGGTGCATACTACTTTATTTCCAAACTGCTGCAACTAAGAGGCTTACAAACAGATTTAGCATCACCACAGCAACTAATGCATTGCCTAAGCTAAAAGCATTATTCAATCCTCCATTCTTCAATTCTTTTATCTCCTGCTTCAACTTTAAAATGTCAACCTTCAAGTCAATGATCTGAACCTTCAAGTCCATCATCCCAATCTTTGTGTCACTCTTCTGTTCTATGCCTTGAACCGCAAAGACAAACAAAAGGACACCAGTACACCTTTCACTTCCACATCCCCGAGCTTATCTGGATGATTGGCGCGCAGATAGGCCAGGTATTGATCCTCAAACTAATAGTTCGCACAAACGTCATTTTTCTGCAATTGACAATCAAAACCCCAACCCACTTAACACTATTTGCAGCTGGACGAACATGGAACCCAACATCAAAGGAAAAGCAAGACAAATTATCGAGAAATTGTTGGGGCAAGTGTAATACATATTGCCAACCTTGCTCTTGCGCCTAATGACCGGATCTTGCATTTGGGGCAATCGATCCGTGGGAGACCACCAACTCAGCTAGCACTTGAACCGGCAAATTGTGGATGCCATCTCCGCCAAAAATGGGACGGGAAGGAGCAGCGAGATGATCGCGATCGACATCGACGCCACTGGTGAGTCACGGCCGCCGCCATCGATCGCTGATCGCCTCCATGCCGACGAGTTAGGGTTCGAGCGGGAGAGAGAGAGGAGGCGGTGGGGAATGGATGGATTGACTCGATCCCATCAAACGGGCGCATGTATGGAGAAACTGGGGCAAAAGGATCCATACAAATGTACGTACTAGCTGTATACACCTGCATGTGAGCCACAGGTCGCGGCAAGTGTACATAATAGTATTTTTCAGACTCCAGTGTAATTGTAATGACACGTTTACAATAAGACTAATAGTAATGGTATTTCCCAGAAACGCGGGGACTGTAACGACACCAATCCAATTAACCCTAATTATTAGCGTCATCTCTCAGCCCACCATTCCACCATTTCAGAGAGGGGTCAGAAATCACAGCAGCACAAGTAGAACTAGAGTATGATATTAACTTTAGTAGTGATACACTTAAAGGAGGCAGGAGATATAGAAAGGGAGGATGTACAGGAGTAGATCAGGAGCTCACCTTGCCCACTTGAATACTAGTCAACAATGGCTCAGCTCCACCACACGGCCGTGACCATGCACCCGAGCGTCGGCGCCCAGCGGCACAGCTGTGTGTGCCTCTATGCACACGGAAGCCCCGAGCTCCAATTGGGCATCTTGAGCCGTAGAACACGACCGGCGGAGCATCCTGTTCCGGTGGTCCCTGAAACTAACTTCCCAAAATAGAGGACCCTAGGAGGCCAAATCGAAGGGGGGAAATAGCTAGATAGCACCTAGAACTCTTGAGGACTTGATTTGGAGTAGTAGCAGGAGGAAGAACCCTAGCCATGGTCGTTGATTTGAAGCAGGTAGCCTGGACGCCATGGTCGTAGAAGGGGGAAGTGAAGCAGAGTTGAGAGAGAGAGGAGGCTGAGAGTGTGCGTGTGTTTTGGGTTTCAACTGTACACGTACTAGCACAAGTAGTACTCCGTACTTACCAGTATAGAGCAGGAAGCAGGATGGTTCTAGTCCCAAGCGTTGGATCAGCTCACGTGTAGCTAGGCAAAGATTAAGAATATTAATTAATTTAGTGACAAACTAAATTCGTATGGACCAATATTTTCCCTACAAATTATACCCAAGCTGAAATTTGACACTGGAGGATGAGACACACGGCTACGTAGACACAATGTATAAATCTATGTGTATTCTCTTATTTTTGCTAAATACCAATATATTAAAATAGATATTATAATTACAGGAAGCAAGCTAAAACGTTGAAGGACATCCGAAGTATACAGACGGATCTGAGATGACATTTAATTTTAAGGGACAGGCAAGTCATGTAGATAATACACTGATTTTCATAAATAAACTCACATTTCAAAAACTGTTGCATCAAAATCTATTTTCTAAATTAAACTGAATGAACTTGATTATTACGATGGATAATGGTTAATT